CTCAGGCATGAAAATGTGCCGCTCAAACACTATACTTTTCCGCTCACACTGAAAAAAAATTAGAGGGAACATTGATTGTGATGTCTCACATGTTCTAATCTAAAAATTTAAGGAAAAGAGAGCATCTGTATAGCTAATTGTAGGTTAAACTATTCTCACTAATGGCCATGTTAACTGAAGATTGAAGAGAGTGTAGATAAGCCTGGATGGCACTGTATTGGGGAGAACTACTACTGACAGCTCCTAGATAAATTGCCACAAATGCTAAGCATTTGGTTGATTAGTACTTACCTACATTGTGCCTCAAAGTATTGTACAATTTCAACCAGTATGTTTAAAATGTGGCTGTAAGGTTAACCATGGCGAGTGTGTTTGTTTATAATTTTTAAAACCTGATTTTCATAATTAAAGCAAATTCCAAAGTAGATTTGCAAAGATAGTTCCTGGCTGCAATTTCAGGATAAGGACACTGAAAAATTGGAAACACTAACTATCCAAATGGCCATTTATTTGCAAAGAAACCACCTTTCTTCCTGTTTATTGGGCTACTGCTGCAGATGATGACAGCTGTAAGATAACATCAGCAGACTGGGCAGAGATGAAAGGGTTTCTTTTTGTTGCTTGCCTGTTTAGTTGAAGGAAACCCTGTTCCTTTGGAAAACACGGCTACCAGGTATAAAATCTTTTCTTCTTTGTCGTCTTCTTCTGACAGACAGATCTAATTCAATTCTCATTGTAGAAATTTACTGGTACATTGAAGGCCTTCTCAGTGGAATAGTTTATAGAGCAACAAATCTGCATATGTTGCTTGATACTTTTGCAATATCCATGCATCATCTCTTGCTTAAGCAAAAGGAAAAATGATTATCTACTAATTATACAAAATATACCGCATAGACTTTCCTTAGACCTATTTTAACTTCTCAGCTCCACAGGGAGCCCAAGCAAAGCTGTTAAAGAAGAGGAAGAAATTAAATGAAATAAGATCCTCTACTCCACTGAAGAGACTTCTGGTTTAGGACCTCTATGTTCAAGTGGCTCAGCTGGTATATTCAGCATGTTTCTTTTTCTTCCAGAATTTTCTCCCAAAATGCTGAAAAGGAATGTTCAGAAGCAACTGGAAAGATTTTCATTTCTAGTTTTGAGAGTGAATGAGTGAGTGGGAGAGAGAGATGTCATATAAAAATCATTCTAGCCTGTCTTCAGTAAGGAAATGATTATCTTGATTTGCTTAATACAAGTAGTCCTTGACTTATTGCTATAACAGAGACTGTCCATTATGGTCATAAGTCATTATGGTTGCAAAGTAGGACATCAAGTGTGGGTGCGTAAAACAAGCCCGTTGTTTGCTCTGGGGTGTTTTTGCCAAAACAATGAAAGTAAATGCCAGCTTGGGGCAAAAGTGCAGTCATATGACCATGAGACACTTCAAATGGCCATAAATGTGTTATCACATGATTAGGGGTAGTGGTGGCTACCAGTTCACCTGAACCAGTAGTGGAAATCACAGGTGGCCCCCCTCCATCTGCCCTGATTCTACGACATCCCATTTAGGCCCTCTTTTTGCCAAAAGAGCATGCGTGGAAGGCTAAGTGCATGTGTGGGGGTGGCGCAAGCGAAGTGAGCATGCGCAAGGGCAATCACATTTGTGAACCAGTAGGGAAGGTAAGTGAATACCACCCCAGAACAGGTTGTAAGTCAAGACTACCTGATTGAATGGGAATGATAACAGCTGTGAAAAAGATATTTAAAAAAAATCTGAAGCCAAATACTAGCTTTGGTGCCTTGTATGAAAATTTAGAAGAGATGTCTCCTCATTTGGCATAGGCTGTAAGAATTGGGAAACACTGGGGAACGAAAACTCATGGTGTGGATGTTTGGGGTTTGCAATGGTGGAGAAGAAGGCTACCAAACAAAATTTAGGATAAGCAGAATGATAGCAGAAAGGTTGGGTATTTTTTTTAGAATCTTGTCAAAGGCATTTAAAAATATCAAGAGACTTGGGAATGTCATCTGATAAATATGTCATTGAGCCACAGTGGCGCAGTGGTTAGAATGCAGAACTGCAGGCTACTTCTGCTGCCTGCTGGCTGCCTGCAGTTTGATAATTCAAATCTCACCAGGCTCAAGGTTGACTTAGCCTTCCATCCTTCCTAGGTCGGTAAAATGAGGATCCAGATTGTTAGGGGCAATATGCTGACTCTGTAAACTGCTTAGAGAGAGTTCAGAATTCAGATATAAGGACTTTTTCATTCTGTGTATTGGAGTGCAGATCACTAGAAACTGGATTTATCTGTTCCCAAATATTCTTGTGGCACTATTGTTTGGAAGTGTGCAATGGAAAATCTGACAATTCTGCTTTGTGCTCTTTGGCGGGCAATGAAGAACTTAGAAGTTGTTTAAATCTAACATGATGGAGAGAAATGAATGTATTTTCAGTTTTTTGGGGAAGAATTGGACTAGTGTTCAAGGCAGAATGAGAGAGGGGCAGATTTTCAGGACTAAAGTAATTAACAGATACAGAGAAATTGTTCTTTTGTATTTCTGGATGAGCGTTCGAAATAAAACGTAAGTGTAGAATGTTGGCCAGGACTTATGTTCCTACTTTGAAAATTCATGTCTCTTTTAATTCACCACAATTTCAAATAAGTACCATATTGAGAACACCGACTGTTTCTTCCTCCCATTTAATAGGCTAAATTGATTTGACTACAGTACAGCTGAAAATTGGCATAACTTTCAACAACCTCTGCAATAGTATTCTCTGGCACAGAAAAGGGAACTTAGCTGTTAGCTAAGCACAATTACCACAATTTTAGCCCACTTTTAAAATCTAAATCTAAAACTTTTAGTGATATCACCAAGTTGTTACTTGTTATTCAGAGTAGAAACGGATCTTAAAAAGAATTACACTGCACATTAAGTTTGGGGAGTTATTAATGTGGTATCCCTTCATTTTTATTAGTAATACTATTGTACTAATTATAATTATTACTAAATTATACATTATAATATTTTCTTCCATTCAGTTGTGTCCAGAGGCTTCTCAGAGGCTGCCTGGACAAGTCCCTTGCAGTTTTCTTGGCAGGATTTTTGGAAATGGTTTGCCAATGCCTCCTTTGTAGGGCTAAGTCAAAACGACTGGTCCAAAGTCAGCTAGCTTTGTGCCTAAGGCACTAAAGAACTCAAGGTGTATTGGTTTCTAGCCTGGTGCCTTAACCATTACATCAAACTGGCTCCCATTACAATTATAATTATTAGAACATTTTATATTTTAATCATTACTAAATATAATTAGTACTACTAGTAGTAGTATTACTACTGTACTACTGTTATGTCCTTGGCACATGTGTATGACTTAAGAAGTGAATATAGCGCAACTTATTGAATGTTCTTCATTGTTTCTTTTTTTTACTTTTCAGTGCTGCCTACTTGCTCATCCCTGGATTTTCACTGTGACAATGGCAAATGCATCCGTCGATCATGGGTCTGTGATGGAGACAATGATTGTGAAGATGATTCTGATGAGCAGGACTGCCGTACGTTAAACGCACAATCCCTTTGTGAGAACAAATAGAATGTCACTGTTGGACCTGCAGTCAGCTTTTGGAGATGGTTAAGCAGTAGAGTAGCTGTTAGAATAGATGGTGTATGTTTAAAAAAAACAAACCCAGTTATTGGGTTTGCTCTAATCTCAGTTATTTAGGTTTGTGGTGTTCCTTAATATACTACAAAACTTAACTTTTGGCAGGTGAACACATTTGTGCAAATATTTGAAAGTTGTCTTATTATGTTACCTTAATCCTAGTTGGTGAATTCCAATCAGAGATGTGTATTGCTTATCAAATTATGCTTTGAAATTTGCATTACAATTACTGAGATAAAGCTTTTAAAAATATTACATGTTTCTCCAGCTATTTATTTAATAGGCTTACCAACAGTTGTATTCTCAATGACATGGGCTAATTGGGCTATTATTGTATTTTATTGTTTCATTTTATTTTAAAATAGTCTTATAATATGTTCAGAGACATTCAATGAACAGAATAAATATATAATAAAGAATTGCATTCATAGATGTTCCTAAAATATCTGGTATATACAGTATAGGCTTCCGTTGGTGGAGTAAACCACAATGCTGTGTTTGACGTGTCTTTTTGTGGGTTGTGTTCCTGCAGCTCCCCGGGAATGTGAGGAAGATGAGTTCTCCTGTCAGAATGGATATTGCATACGCAGCCTATGGCACTGCGATGGTGACAACGACTGTGGAGACAACAGTGACGAGCAGTGTGGTTAGTCACCTGATTGTGATAGGACCAAAATCTAGCATTTTGAAATGGCAAATGACATGAGAGAAAAAAAATAATTGTAGCACAGATGATTGGAACATAATTTTTGCATAGGTTTTAGTCCTAACATGGTGGGCTGAAAATCATGTATTTTATTCTTTCTGAAGACTTTGATGTTATCAGTGCAAAGAGGCAAATGGCCATTCCCAAATCAATTTTTGAAAACCCAATTTGCTGCTGAAGCAACAAGATGACAATGTCACTGTAGATTTGAGGGGGAGAGATTTGTTCTAATATGCCTAAAGAAAGCCCATGCCTTTCCCCGTTTCTTGACCATTTGCAACTGCAGTCTGGCATTACAGCTTCTGGGGCTTTGAGGACTGGGGGGGGGGATGAGATTAGGATACATCTAGACTTCAGACTCCATGGAAAAAGTTAAGATAGTTTGCTTGGCGGGTTGGGAAATTAGGGTGTTTGGGGGTTGTGCTATGTCTCTTCCATGCCACATCAAACTGTATTGTAGTACAACTTCAGCTTATCTCTGTAAAAATCTATACTCAGCAAGCAGTCATTATTCTGTGCAATTGTAATATTGGAAAGTTTGGGGATGTGATCTATTTTTAAAAACTTTCACTTGCAGCTCTGAGGGAAGGGAAGGGGAAAATGAAGAGCCATGGTGGCAGCACAATGGTTAGAATCAGGAGTGGATTGCTGCCGGTATTGTTGCTGGTTCACTGTGCACGCGCACAGAGTTGACTGTAAATTGTTCTGCACATGCGCAGAACATGAAAAAATTACTAAAAACATGCTGGCAATGGCAGTGGCGACCAGGGAACCGGTTCGAGGGCATGGCCAACCTGGGTCGCTGCCAGTTCTGCGGCCAAGGCCAAAATACCACTACCAGTTCACCCAAACTGGTGCAAATAGGTAGCAACCCACCTCTGGTTAGAATGCAGTATTGCAGGATAACTCTGCCCATTGTCGGAGGTTTGATTTTGACCGGCTCAGGGTTGACTCAGCCTTCCTTCCTTCCAAGGTTAGTAAAATGAGGTTAGTAGGGTTGTTGGGGGCAATATGCTGAGGATTGTATAGAGAGGATTGTAAAGCACTATGAAGCGGTATATAAGTCTAAGTGCTGTTGCTATTTTCCCCTAAGCTCTTCTTTCTGCTGCAGATATGAGGAAGTGTTCAGACAAAGAGTTTCGCTGCACTGATGGTAGCTGCATAGCTGAGCACTGGTTCTGTGATGGTGATACCGACTGCAAGGATGGGTCGGATGAAGAGAACTGCCGTAAGTGCCCTCTCTTTCCAGCATTTAAGCCCCACGTTCTGCTTCTGGGGATATGTGCCTTGTTTTTTTTATGATATAAGCACCCATTGGCCTTAGCCTTGCTGTGTAGGATTGAAAATATATAAACTACTAGTGCAAAACTCTGCAGGCATTTTGCTGTCAAAAGAGCTACTTGAAATGACATCATCCTTCTTTCATTTGATAAAAACATCTGCTTCTAAGCTTTGAAATGATCATGGGTATCAGTTACTACAGCTGTTAATGCTGCTCTTTTATTTCTGTCTTGAAAGAATAACATCTTCTCCCACAGTAATGCTTTTTTAAAATTGATTCTGATAAATGGAAGAAGCCGTACCAGATTTTTCATTGAAGAATCCCCACTAAAAAGTTCAAGAATTTTGAATTCCATTTTTAAAGGAAACCGATCTCATTTTCAGTTATGATTTTTCTTGCCTGTTTATTTAAAGAAATTATATATCATGTACTCCAATTTGCATTAAGATTGTTTAAAAACATTTACTGCTGTAGAATCAATGCTTTTCTCATGAAACTCGATTATGATGCAGTACTTTTAAATGGCAAGCAAATGGTATTTTAACACAAGACTATTTTTATCCTACTTCAGTAACTTTGAACTTTAGCAGGTTTTGGTTAATTTTACTGGGTATCGATGAGAATCAATCTCTCTCTCTCTCCCTCTCTCCCTCCCCCCTCTCTCTCCCTTCCTCCCTCCTCCCCCTCCCCTTCCTGAGGGGTATACACTATTTAATTTTGCTTTGTTGGTATATTACAGATTATTTTGTTTCTAAATTTTGTCTGTGGGTAACTCTTGGCTTATAGCCACAACTGGGAGTGGAACTCCCATTGCTAAATGTGTCAGTTGTTAACTGAGCCATGCCAGATTTTGCAACTTTTTTTTTTTTGCTGTAGTTATTAGGTGAATTGTATGGTCATTAAGAGAAACCATTTTCTACCAATGACTTTGCTTGTCCGAAGACATTTGGGAAGGTGCAAATGGAGGTCATGTGACTCCAGGGCACTGCAACTATCTTAAATACATGCTGGTTGCCAAGTGCCAAGTGCCCAAATATTTGCCATGTGACCATAGGGATGTGGCAATAGTCATAGGACCAAAATAAATCACTTTTTTCAGCCCTGTCATAACTTTGAATGGTCACTAAGTTAATAGTTGAAAGTCAAGGACAATCTGTATACATAAGACATTTGATACTAAAGTGAGAATTACAGCTTAATTATATGTAGAATTATTGAGTAAGTGGAGGAATGGAGTGGAATCCAAAAACAGAAAATGAGGAGTTGGAGGATTTTATAACATAACTTTGTTACTGATAGGAGAGTCCAGATGTGTGAAAACTAATCAAGAAGGCAAGGACGAAAAAAGCTTACAGTGTTTTGACCTAACAATCCATCAGTACAGTGTCACTTTTAATTGGTGGGCCTTAGGATGTAGTGAACAACCAATGAAGGGAGGAGGTGAACAGGTGCACAATAACCAATCAGATCATGAGATGGCATTCTTTTGCCATTAAGTGATGAAAGATGAATGAAAGTCATGACACAGATTAAAGGCAACATTCTTCTTGGATGATATGGGGCAGGTCCTGCATTCCTTCTAACTCTGACCTTGTAGCCCCCTTCCCAAGATAGCAAAACAGGCTATTCTAT